ATTAATTTCTGAGGAAAATGCACCTACTGCTGTGAATATGACAGTTCTCAACCTTGGTGTTTTTACAGGATGTCCCTCCCCAGGGAACAGCCAACACCATTCTGACTTACCCTGCTGGAACTGCACCTCCTGCTGGGTAATCAGCTACTGCAGTACTAAGGGAGAGACCTCAGTATGATTAACTGAATGCCCCTTGTGAATGCTAAGAAAAAGGAGACAGCAAGTTTTCTGGGGGGAAAAGTGCTTTCAGTAATCATCTATTTTCAATTCAAGAAGCTAATTTACAGTTGCCTAGAGTTGCTCAATTATCAGCAGCACTTAGTATTTTATATATCCCAGTAAGCTTTAACTTTAAATAATATTCATCACTCTTTCAAATATTTTCCCTCAATTACTTCCGTGAGTCAAGAACAAAATTCATTTTGTAATGATTATCTGACTCAGGTAAAGCTGATTTTCTATTACTCTAGGCCAAAGCCACTGACAAGGGCACAAAAAGGATTATTTTTCAGCAGTTTTCAACTCAGCTAAATCAGCAGATAATGCCATCTATGATGCAGAGTGATTCTGACCTAAAGCCCTCCTCATTGTTAATATTTCTCACATCTCAAATATGCCACAGTGGCAAAAATATTCTATAGACCTCTTCCCAGTCTCCCAGGAGAAAAGAGACTGTTTTAGGATTTCTTGGCTTTTATCGTTTTACTCAATTAACAGTATTTTCTCAATAGAATTCCAGAGTCCTACCCCATCCTAAATTGCATTATCACACAGAGGAAGTGCATCTCCTGATACAGACAGTGGTGGTAATCCATCCGTACTGCTTTATCATACACAGGACATCAAATGAACGCTCCATCTACTCCAAGAAAAATGAACACAGTGAAGAAAGCCACACTAACTCTGTCAAAGGGCTCATGGTTATTGGCTGCTATTCAGATAAGATGTGGTTTTCCTTTATTGTTAAATTTATTGTTGGAATTTATGTGCCATTTTTAAACCATGGCATTTTAAGTGAATCCTTCTTTTGGTTTAAGAATAGTTTTGTCATCAATTCCTTCCTTCTTACAGTAAAAATGCATATGATTTTTATAAGTACAAATCAATCACTTGGGTGCTTTTTGGGTTCTGTCTCTTCTGATCAACATGTGTGTTTCAGAAACAGTATGCATGTTCTATGCATCTAGAAAAGTATACATACCATCAAATATTCTCCATCTTTAAGCAATAAGTTGCATGTTCATTTTACTTTGTATAGGTTTTACAAAGGTTATGATCGTACCTCTGCTCATGTAACAAACATTAGTGGATTCATTCTCACAACATGCCCTTAAGTTAAGGAAATATTACCATCCCAGCTTGCAAAAGTGATTTGTCCAGTATTACATACAGACCTTGTGGGAAAGCTGGGAACAGAAGTCAAATGCTGATATAATTACACCAGAGTGAAACCCTTACAGAGATGCTTTACAGGCATATAAACAGGGACTGCTGCAACTTAATCCTGATAAATCCTAGGAGTATGTGGTTAGTGCCTAGCAAAAATGCTATAATGTAGACAAAGTTAAGATCTTTTGATTCCAAGTTCAGTGATTTAACCGCATTATGGTTCTTGCTCTTCAGTTAGACTGATACATAAATGAGACTTAGTTTTAACTGATGTGGGTTGCATGTCATCTACTGTTCTCTTAATGGGCAATATATTCTACCTATCTTCAACTTACCTGGTGAAACTACTCACTATGGTGAGTCCCTTACAGTCACATATCATTTTCAGGAGCTTTGGAACTTGAGAGTAGAGAAAATGGGTAAAGTTCTGCTAATAAATGGAAATTAGATAGTAATTGTAGGTACTCCTTGTACAACAGCTTGTGGTAAAGATAAGTTATAGTGCTAACCAGTGATTTTCTAAAACTAGAGTTCAAGTTCTTCGGTTGGAATCAGAACCTGAATCTTGGTCTCACATGCTGCAGATGTTTAAAATAATCACTGGAGTGAGGGCTTTTCCAATATAGACAAGGGCTTTGTCTCTGTTCTTCCATGAAACATTTTTTAAAAGCCTTTGGTTTATCCCAATGTAGAAACAAAAGATGTCCGTCTTCTTTTCTCACCATGGAGCCCACAGAAAAATTAGAGAACAGCTCTTGCCTCATTTTCCCCTCATCTATATCTCCTATCTGCTACTCATTCACCCATCCAGGTTCGTTCCACATCTCCTCTGCATCATAGAATTCATACTCCTCTTATTGTCTACTTCCTTCCCTCTACCAAGTCCATTTCCCCATCCTTGTTATCACCACCTTTCTATAATTCTACACATTTTATCTAGTCCTCTATTAACGGTTCTCAACCTCCCACAACAATCTACACTGCCTTGATTCCTCTCAGGCTACCATTCCTGATCTCACACTCCTCTTTTCCCCTCAACTTATCTTACTGTCTCTGAAACACCTATTCTATCACTAGAAAGATCACATACACCCATGTCCTTATTATATTCCCTCTCCAGCTCCTGTGTTTCATAAAAGCTCACCTAAAACTTCCCCATCAGCCTTCTTTGAGTTAGTTTCCTACCTGTCTTATTCTTCCTGTCCTCACAATCTCTCAACCTTTCCCTTCCCACCTCCATATTTTCTTGCCCTTGATCCTTCATTCAATCTGTAGCTGCTTCACTTTCTCTCATCTTAAAACTGTCACCCTTAATTCGATTTGCCTCTTGAATTACTGCTCCATCTCCCTTCTGCCTTTCCATCATAAAGCTCACTGAATATACCATCTATAATCACAGTTTGGCATCCCACTCCAATTCCATCCTCGACTTTCTATAGTCTGGTTTTCTTGTCCTTGCATGCCACTGAAACCAGTCTTGCCAAATCTCTAGCGTCTTCTCTTCATAATCAAAGTTACTACCAGTACTCCATCCTTATCTTTGGTGATGTGTCAGCTGCTTTTAACAATAGCAACCATTCCTTCTGGAAATCTTGTCCCCTTTGGCTTCCGTTACCCCTTAGTTCTCTTTCTACTTCTCTAATGACTCTCCCAATGTGTCTTTGGGAGGAGCTCACTCTCTGGGCAGGTTCCACAGGACTTATTCTTTTCTTTCCCTGCTTTTTGTATTTCTGGAATGTTTTGTACAAACACAAATTAAATCTCCATCTCTATAATGACAACTAACAGATCTACCTCCATGGCTAAGTACAGACAATCAAAAAGTCTGAGACTGAATTGATTCAGTCTTTTATTAGTTTAAGCTGCAAAGGTTGAACCAATAAGCAAATGAACAGACATTCACTTTTGATTCAGGAAATTGAGCCACATGCCTGCAGTGGCTCAATCCAGAAGCTGGGGTGGGGCAGGAACTAGAGTATGGCTCTCTGGCATGTAGCCAGCATGAGCTGTGTGTTCACTTCCTCTTCCTGCTAACCCTGAGATTGCTGGGATTTGCAGTCCAGAGTCACAGCAGCAGGACTCTGCAAGGTTGCTCACTACTTCCTTTTCCTGCTTCCAGGTGTCTCTGGGATTTGTAGTCCACAGTCACAGTCAGCACTAAGCAAACAGGGCAGGGCAGGGCAGGGCAGAGCAGCTCCATACTTGGTGGGAGGGAAGTTTAATCCCCCTCCCTGACCCGAGCCGGGGTTTGCCTTGGGGAGCAGAGGAGCAGGGCCAGCCCTGCTCTCTGGAGCATACAACACAACCAACCCAGCCTAGCTCAGGGCTGCTAAGCATGCTGGGATGCTGGAGGACTGTGATTTCACATGAACCAGGAAGGGGTCTTGGACAGAAGTTTCAACAGAAGTTTCATAAACTGCTTAGACCTAAATCAGTTAAGTCTGATGCTACATTCAACCAGTTTCAAAATGGCTGAAATTGGTTAATGTGCACTGAACTTCTTTTCTGTTACAGGTTTAAACCAGTTTCTGATCACTTAAACTTTTGTTCCTAGCTCATTTGTGCAAACTAGATATTTGGCCTCTCTGTCTAGTCCTCAGCCTTACACTAGCTAAAACTGTGCTCTTAATCTTCCTGCTTCTAAGCCCTCCCTGCCGTCTCTTTGTCTTGATTGTTGCACACAACAGTACAATTCTGCTTCTCACTCTAGCCTTGAATCTAAGTGGCATTTTTGATTTGATCCTCCCTCAAGGTTCTCATATCCAGGTTATGTCTAAATCTTTGATTCTTCCTGCATAACATCTCTAAGCTATGGCTTCTCTTACCCAGCTACACATCTAAAATGCTCGCTCAGGCTCTCATCATCTTGTGCCTTAATTACTGTAGCATCCTTCTTTTTGGTCTTGACAAATGCAAACTTACTCTACTCGTATACCCTTAGGATGCTGCTGCTAATATTATTCTTTTAGTCAGTGCTTCAACCAGGTCATCTTTCTTTGCATTCCTCCACTGGCTTCTTCTATTCTGTAACATCAGACATTAACTACTTGTCTTCACTTTTAGGAGCCTTCATGGCCCGTTTCAACCCTATCTATCATCTCTCATTCACTATCAAGGTACTAATTTCCCCTTAAAGTGGTCTATACCAGTCTTATTACTCTTTTAAGAGAACGCCTTGAAGCTTCTTCCCCTGCTGACCCACATGTTTCCATAAGTCCACATAAGTAATGCACTGATCTCCTTCAAAATCCTCCTTAAAATTAGCTATTTATGCATCTGCGATGCCAACAGAAAATGACAATGATCAGGCAGCTGATGTGCTAAGGCTGTTGCCTGATATACTGACCACTGTTGTGCCATTGTTTCCTTGTACTCCTCCAACTGTTTGTATTCATCTGTCACCTCTTGTCTTATACTTAGTTTGTAAACTCTTTGGGGAAGGCACCATTTTTTTCATTCTGTGTTTCTATAGCACACTGGTGTCCTAGACCATGATTAGGATGTTTGCAAAGAGAAGAAGAAAATAGAATTATGTGCTAAGTATCATTACAAATCTGGAGTCAGAGTGCACATCTAAAAGAACAGCCTACAAGAGGTGAAAGTGTGAAAAGTATTTATTTTATTATACTTATAAAAACTGAAGTTTCAGCAGCTACAGTGATGAAAGCTTTGAGGGCCCTCTTTAGTGGATTGCCAAAGAATCTTCTGGTGTCAGCCATCTTTGATGTGGCCTCAGTACAAAACCTCAAACTACTTGACATACTTAAAAAGAAATAGCATACAGTACTGTTAGTAATAAAAGGTCCATAGAGCTAAGCAGAAAAAAGCAGTACTACAGAGTCTGAAAGAAAACAATATAAAAAGGTACAATTAGTTTAGTTCTCTTATAGAAAAATCCTGCAGAATTCAGAGGACTGTATATAAATATATAATAAAATTATATAGACTTTCTATAACAACCTATAACATTTAACTGAACTTTTGGCATTTTTTATTGGATTTTTGAACTGTACTATATAATTGCATACCAGTGAAATAGATTTTTCCTCCTCTATAGAGTGTCTCAAAGAGAAACAATTACAAGATTTACATTCTCTTTTAAATTATTTTAGCCTTTTTTCACAAAGCTTTTTCAGACAAACTAAACAATTATGAGGCTTCTATTTCCACTACAGATAATTGAGACACAAGTAGATAGTCCTTGCAGTAGCTACTGCAAAATTTTATTAAGAACTCCAGTGAATGCAGAGACACTAAAGTTCTACTACAGCCATCTATTGGCAACTTGGCCCAGGGCTCAACTCAATAACTTAAAATTAACTTAGCATTTCTAAGGCACTGTCACATAGAATATACAGTCCCTTTTAGAAGGCCTCCAAAGGGCTTGGTCAGAGTAGACAGCAGATCACTTTCTGTGATGTTGATGACATCAGACCCTGATAGCTGTGCTTTTTGGTAAGTTAAGAAACTACATATTTGTATTAATATCTCTCTTAAGTCTTTTGGAAAGCATAGCCCTACCACAGAAGGCTTTGAATAGCTTTAATGTCCTAATTACCTTATGTAAGGGAAAAACTAATTGGCTACTACTGTGTAGTATGCATGTACCTGAGATCAAGTCATACACATACATCCCATATAATTATTTGGGATTCTCTTATGCACAATGTACGAATTTAAACTTGATTTTATCATCTCTCTGGGACCTCATGTCTTATGACAGCCTTTACTGTGCCCTGCACGTGGACTGAAGTTGGCCTCAGCAGATCTAGCATTGAATAGGCCATTAAAGATCTTCACACTTGAACAGATTTTGGCACAGCATTAGGTAGGGGTATTTTCTACATGAAACCAGCTTTTTGTAATTTCTCTAGAGCAGGCTAGGATCTAAAGGAATGCAATTTATCCAGAAGCAAAATACCAAGGTGTTTAAAGTGCTAGAATTTAAAAACTGAGGAGAACTCACAAAGGCAAAGAAAGCTTGTGGAAGGAAAGAACAAAAATCCAGGCTTCCTTCCCCTCCAGAAACTTTTCTGAGGATCAGCCATGGTCAAAAGAATCTGGAAGGAAACAAGAGGGACAGATACCATGTTGCAGAGGAGAAACCATAAAGTAAGGGAGAAGAAAGCTGGAACCCTGAAAGAACACTGACCTACACCATAAAAGCTCTTCAGAATAATGAGAAAACTGAGTCAAGAAATCGTACCTAGGTGCTTTATGATGGGTTTGAGGGATGGGGGGAAGAAGGGTTTGGAGACTATTTTTTTTTATGCTGGCTAAAGTAAAAAGTAATTGGTTTGGAAGGCCTGTGTTACATGCTTCACTTACCACATACCCCTGGAGACAAACTCTAAAATACAGACCCTACAGGATTTGTAAAATGAACACAGTATTCAATAAATGTAGGCATAGGTGAATGAGACCAATGACAAGAAAACAAACTTTAGTTGTAGAACAGTAAGTAATCATTATAGACCTTTTTTCTGTTTCTCACACCAGATAACCTGAGTCAGGGACCATCTTCCAGTTCCCAACTTGTGTAGTCTTCTTAGTTGGGGAAAAAAGTATCTTTAAATTACAAATTCTATCACTACAGTTAGAACTTTGGGAAAGGAAATACTTAGGCCATTTGTAGACAACACTTTAAAGAGGGTTTCAAGTGGGTTAAATGCCTTTTGCACTGCTTTAATGGTGTTGTTGTTTGCATGAGGTTCAAATGTGCCAGCGTATTGCATGTTAATTCCAGGGGCTGTAGCACATTTGGTGGCGTAATGTGCCTTAAATGACTTTGGAATATAGTAAATGACTTTCAGGTGCTGCAAAGTAAAACGCCTCCGAGGATTGTTAGTTTCTTACCCTACAGCCATGGAGGGAAGCACAGGGCTCTGTGCAGCTCACAGGGTCTGCAGGCAGACTGTGTAAGCAGCCCGGCAGCAGCCTGGGAAGGCAGGCTCCACAGAAGAAATAATAAAAAAAGCGGCAATCTTTTTTATTTTTTTCTCCCCTCCCCCACCCAAGCCTGCCTGCCTGCCAGAGCTGCATGGGGGCCTGGTGCTTCCCTCTGAAGCTGCAGAGCCCCCAAGGACTGCCTGAGTCCATGATCACTGCTAGCCACCAAAGTACCTCAGTAATTAAGGCCATTTGTAGATGACACAGGGGCTTCCTTTGCCCTAAATTCAAGCAGGTGCCTGGGAGTGGGTGTTGCCTGCAGGGGGAGGGGGCATCACTGCTGTGGAGGGAAGCACCAGCCTCTCCCCCTGCCACAGCTCAGGGACTGTTCGGCCCCCCAGTAACTTGCTCTCCCCTCCTCGCTGGAGAGGCAGGTAAGGATTGGGCTCCGACATGGGTGTATACGACACAGAGGTTTACTTCGCCCTAAACTGAAGCGGTGTTCTTAAAAAAAAACATTTCAATTTAGGGCAAAGGAAGCCCCTGTGTTGTCTACAAATGACCTTAATTACTGAGGTACCTTGGTGGTTAGCAGTGATCATGGGGCCTAAAACAGCTGGACTGAAGGCTTCAACTTAGGTAGGAAAGGAATAAACTGACAGTCTGTTTAGAATTCGTCTCCATTTCAGTGAGAAGTTGTGGATTCATTTGAAGTCATGGCGGATAGAGGTCCTCCACATCACAGAAACAGAAAGAACAGAATAGGGTCCCTATCTTTCTTCAAGATACTGAAGGACCAGGAAGCATGGCAGGGGGGCTGAGGGGTCCAATTTGTCACCCTTCCCAATTATTTGTGTAATACTTTGGTCCTTAGGCTTCACCAACTATGTTAGCTTCCATCATTTCTCTGTCAAAACTGTTTCCTTCCATGTAACCCCTTTCTTACCGGATATCCTCCATGAAAGATTCTATAAGGCCACTTGTTTGTAATCATTAAAATCCCTGATCCAGACCCATTTTTACTATCATGTGTAACAGATTATTGCTACGTATGCAGTCAGTAAAATGTTTTGTTATTTATTTGGCTCATAAGGCATGGGAAAGAAGTTACACACAAACTGGTGATGAGAAACTGGTTTAAACCTATAACAGAACAGAAACCCAGTGCACATCAACCAGTTTCAAAACAGCCTCAGTTTTAACATAAACCTAGATGAATGTAGTACCAGACTTAACTGATTTGGATCAAACTGGTTTATGAAACTTCTATCCCAGACCCCTTCCTGGTTCAAATTAAATCACAGTCCCCCAGCATCTCAGCATAATTTCCAGTCCTGGGCTGGGCTGTCTGCTCCAGAGAGTAGAGCTGGCCCCACCCCTCTGGAGAAGTGAGGGCTGGGGCAGTGAAGGCTGGCTGACAAGGTTGGTGGGGGAGGTGGGACAAGCCTGGTTGGGGATGCAGGCCAGTTTACAGAGGGAGTCTGGCCCCTCCTGGCAAACCCCAGTTGGGTTGTGGGGCCAGGGAGCAGTGTTAAACACCCCTTCCCCCTCTCAAACTTACTGCTGGCTGCTACTGTGGACTACAAATCCCAGAGGCACTTGGAAGCAGGAAGACGAAGTGATGAGCAACTGTGCAGAGTCCTGCTGCTGTAAGTCTAGACCGCAAATCCCAGAGACCTCGGGGGCAGCAGGAAGAGGAAGTGAACACATAGCCAGAGAGCCTGCTAGCCCCCCAGCTTCTGGCCTGAGCCACTGCAGGCATGTAGCTGCATTTCCTGAATCAAAGGTAAATGTTTGTTCACTTCTGTTTCAATTTAATTTGGGGGTGTAGGTTGTAGCCTTGTTGGTCTAAGGACAGAGGTAGACAAGGTTCTTTGGGTGAATCTGATAGCTTTTATTAGACCAACTTAAATAGTTAGAGAACAATTTTTAAGCAAGCTTTCAGGTTCAAAAACCCTTCATCAGGCTAAGGAAGTTTCAGCAGTTGATGTGTGCTCTTTCTGGATGGAATAAGAGCACACTATTTAAGTTGGTCTAATAAAAGATATCAGATTCACCTAAAGAACCTTGTCTGCCACTTTAATTTGTGCATTTTAGAGTAACCTGCAAAGACTGAATCTAATCAGCCTCAGGCTGTCTGTACCTAGCCTAAAAGTTACCTCCTAATCCATTATTGTTTCCCTTAACCTCTCTCTCTTGTCTCCTCTGACCATTTGTTATACTTACTTATTCCATCTGGTCTTAATGTGATTTTAACATTTACAGGGTAAGGACACCGTTATCCCCATTTTTAGCCAATTTCTAGCACATAGAGGAACCTAAGATGGTGAGGATCACCAGGCATCACTTTAATACCAAAACTGTAATCTAGTGTAAGCTGGGACACAAGGTTGGGAGAGTGTCAGACACTGATCATGTACTGCATAGTAATTCAGCAATCTCCTTGTAAAGCTAATGACTTAAAAAAATGTCCTGTGCCAGGCTGTTAGAATAGATTAATTGAAAATCAATTCTTTGCACAAAAATGAAGAGCTAGATCTTTCCGTCATCAGAATACGTGAAAATACATGCAAGTTTGTTGCCAAGACATGATCAGTAGGACTGTTTTTTAGTCCTGTGTAGACTTTCCCACTGCAACCACATGTCCTGAAGGACACTGTCATATTACATTGCATCACAACATTCAATTGTAATTTATTCTACCAGAGACTCATCTATCTCCTACTTTTTCTTCAGCTGAATGTCATCTGAAAAAATTAGACAACTTCAAATCAGGATGAAAACT